CATCCAGGTACTGACCAGGCTCACACCTGCTGAGCTTCAGTGGGCTGCCAGTTGTGAGTTGCAGAGTGATATGGCTGGTAGCCACCTAGATTTACTGACTTTTCAAATCAGCCACATGCTTCATTATCGGGACAGCTCAGCCAAGGTGAATGTCAACACACACTGATGTTTGTAAAGCAAATTTAAAAAGCACGTACTTGACAAGTGTTTCTATAAAGTCGAGGGCTTCGTTTCGGAGAACTTCAAACCGGCTAAGTTTTTTCGTCCTCCTGGATTCTTTCATCTCCAGCAAAGTCTGGAACGAGAAGCGTTTGCTTCTTGAAGTTTACAGATAACACTAAACATCTGCAGTCATAAGGATAAAAAGTGATGGCTTTATCAGAAATTGATGCATTTCAATATTTATTCAACGTTGGACCAATCTTTGTGTTGAAATTGCTGAGTCTCCGCAACACTTGGAGGTCATGGGTGGACAGTGAGCCCCGACGTCTAACAGTTCAAAAAAGGAGCACATTTTCACATTAAACATGTTAAGAAAGAAAGCTTCATGTCAGCCACAGGCAGAGGGACATCCCCACTCTCGACCTCCGATGTGCCCAATGTTGTGGAAATGGACCAGGTTTGTGAAACCAGCATTTTGTGCTTCTACACCAGGTATTCAGTATCAGTGGTAACAATTCTTCACTGAGATAAGTGAAATCAAAGCCTTCACAGGCAGTATGCTGCTAATGCGATGGTGTTGTATTATACGCAGACACTACACTGGTGTGCTATTTTGATGCAAACAACAAAAATACAGTCGTGATCCATCAAGCAAGAGAGTAAATAACTCTCTGCTCTCGAAAGCACCTGCGGCTCATGTTGGATTGTACTCGGGGTAAACTGTCCAATAACACAAAAGAAGCCCTCATCGCTCGTGAACATGATTCCCTACCTTCTGCAGGTGGAACAGGTCCGTCTTCTTCTGCAGACGGGGGCGCGGGGAAGCGTCTTCTCCTTCCTCTGTGCACTCTCCCTCAGCAGAGCGGTCTTCTGCGCGGACAGGAACACATCAGGAAAAACCTCCCCCCACCGCAGCTGAGGAGCTAAGTCCCAGGAGGTGAACTCGGCCCCAAGCCCTTTCTCCGACACCTCACTCACTTCTATGACGAAGAGCCGCGGGGGACTGAAGGTGCGCCCCTGAATGCTCACGCGCTGGGATTAAAAGCGTCTTGGCATGCTCACGGATGCCATCCCTCGATAGTTATGGCTCACAGACAATATGCTGTCTGTTGTTGCTACTCCTGCGCTGCTTCGTATCCAGTGGCTAAGTGTGGGTCGGCAGAGAATTCCTCAAAGAATTGTTCATTCTCCAGTCACTGTTTGATTCAACTGAATATCACCTCATCTGTCCCTGTGCAAAAGTAAGGCCATACTGTATCATGTTCATTCATGTTGAGAAGTCTCGACTCGAAACGGGCAGGGTACCCTAAATAAGGAAAACGTGACAATGTTTCTGTTTTTTCAGAGCTTTGTACTATTAAATATGTTTCATTTAATCTTTCCCTGTACAAAAACGACGGTACAAGGATCATAACACATTCATTCACATTAAACAGGATTGATTCAAAGTGGGCCAAGTAAACTAAATTTGGCAATAGCTCCCTCAGTTTGTTAAAAGCTTTGTACTGTTAAATACTTCATATTTCAATGTACAAAATACACTCTAAGTAAACAAATTTTCATCAGTGGAAATGTTATAACAAAATAATAGATTTATATTAACACTTTGTACCTAGTATAAATATGGATCTAAAGCAGCTTAATAATTTTTTTACAGAAGTTTGAAAACTTATAATATTCTCAAGGGCAACTTTGTTCAGCTTTGATAGGTTAGAACACAAAACTACCCCTGTGAAACACAGATGAGAAATGGGACACCCCGAGTGGGAACCCCCATATGAAGGGCACGAGACTGCAAGTGTGGATACTGGGACACAGCCAAGGTCTCCTGCACCCTGTGTACCAGGGGGGTGCGTCCCATCCAGCTGCCCACTGAGATAAGGAAAGAAAGTTCCCCTTTCACAGAAATAAATGCAACAAGTCTCCCTTACAGAGCTCCAGCTGCCAGTGTGGTATATCCTTACCCTCCCTAATATCATTGTCAGGTCTACAGAAGGCGTATCTAAATGGAGGCCTACAATAAGACTACATGTAGTTTTTATTCTTGCGAGAAGCATGAATGATCTGTAGCGGGCGTTAGAAGCACCATAATTACAACCCAACACCGTTTTATGTGCAAT